GTTAGGTTAGGTTAGGTTAGGTTAGTGGTGCGCAGAAGGTGATGCGCACTGACGCCGTAACCATCGTGCCACCTCACGACTTTAAGCAACCACCACGTCGGAATTACGGGTTGTGGAAAATTAAGAAGACTGTATTTCGAGTTTTCACCTATGGCATAATAACCAGACTAAATTTCGTTAATTTCCGTCCATCCATTCAAAAACCACAAAATTCATGAATTTGGATTGGTTTGGGTTGAGTTAGGTTAGGTTAGGTTAGGTTAGGTTAGTGGTGCGCAGAAGGTGATGCGCAGTGACGCCGTAATCATCGTGCCACCTTACGACTTTAAGCAACCACCATGTCGGAATTACGGATTGTGGAAAATTAAGAAGTATGTATTTCGAGTTGTCACCTATGGCATGATAATCAGACCAAATTTCGTTAATATCCGTCCAGCTATTCTCTAATTATGAAATTTGTGCTGACGGATATCACTTGAAATGGGATGGATTTGTTCACGTATAGGTGAATATTTCAGGTTATTTTGACTTTTGTGCTGACATCCTCTTGTAATTTGTTGAATTTAGCGTTAATCCATGTCATATCCAATAAATTAATTATTGTGTGAATTTAAATATATTACAATAACATTTCCAAGCCAAAATCTTTACTATGTTTGTCCGTTAGATGTTGTGTTTGTGTGTTTCGTAAATGTTATAAATTCGATTGTTCAATAAAATTCGTAATTAATACCGTAAATATTTACATTTAATAATACATTGTAGTGTATTATAATAATTTAGCTTTTAACGTTTAATAGTTTTTAGAAGGCATGTTTCTGCGCACGAATCATTCATTGTGCAACGATAATATTCGTTTTCTACTAGCTATCGATAATATTACAATTTTGTATGAGTTTTACGTACTGCCAACAGTACTTTCGTTACTGAACCTGTGTGTGAAAGAATGCAATTTATTAATCTTGCGTGCTGTTAAAAACGTTTTAGAATATCACAAGTACTTATCTTATATAAGAATTATTAAGAAATCTGTGATACTGCCCTCCACTCTCTCCATTTTAGTTTTGATTAAATTGGTCATTGCCGGTGAACATCGTGGTCTCTTACAATTGAACAAAGTTTGAGGTAAGGAATTCCTATTTATTTATTTATTCAATTGTAAAGCATGTATAAAGGGAATATTTAGAATAAAGCTAATATATAAACTTCCTTTCGTTGTATTTATTGCCTAAATATAATTTAAATACAAAGACGTATTCACGTCAGATTCTCCGGAACCGTGGTTCCACTGTCAATTTCATATATCAGTGGCCGGATATTATAATTGGTTGTGCTGGGTTCGTCGTCCATTATGTGTTACGTCAGGTATTAAACCCCTTCTTCACATATGAGGAAGATGTTAAGAAAATTAATGGTTGGATATTCTTTGGCAGTGAAATAAAGGTATATTTTCATATCATAATTCTCATTGGCTGACCTGAGAGCATTAAGTATGGCACAGTTTGAAAGTAAGGTTATTTTCGGGTATCATTTGCGATAATTCACAGAGAAGTCGGTTATTGTATACTGGAAGTAAAATACTGTGTTATAAGTAGTTATAACTAATACATTTATATTTAGGAACATACGACTGACATGGTGCTTGATTCCTTGCTGTTCCCCTTCTCGATGATAATTACAGGTGCAATTATCTTCTTGCTGGTTTATTTCGTATCCTTTTTAATTTATATATAGAATAGTTTTAATAAGTGAACCATGTTCATATTATAGCTGAACGTGTAGTTGCTATAGTTGTGTTGACTGTAATATTGAGGTTGCTGGGAATAGACTAGAATATTAAGTCAGTAAATTTCCAAATAGATGTGTTTAAATTGCCCATAAACCATTCTGGTACAGCCTGTTAGAATGAACAGTCAACCTGTGTTTAGCTGTCAGAAAGTCATTAATTGTTCTTATTTTACTCCTTTGATTTTGGTATGAGTTACGTGCTGATGACTGTCACGTGGGATGTTGCCTTGACATTATAGAGGTGCTTTCTGTCTCCATGATTAGTGTCATCATGGTGATGAAGGTAAAAAGCACCTCTGAAAAGTCTGTAAACTATGGGATTGCTTGGCACAACATCATAGACGACAGTCGTCTTGTACTTGCTGTCATGAGAACATGAAATTCATGAATTTACATACTTTACAGTGCATAGTTAGTGTTCTGAATGTTTAGTGTTGGGTATAATGAATTTTGTGGACATTTAATTGGATATGTGAAACTTATATATTCTTTACTATATGCATTTATCTTTGTAGAGAAAGTATCAGGTTCTGTTATATGAATTGTTTGAAAAAGTATAAATCATATTATTTCCCTAATTCCTAAATCAGGTGATATGTTTATCAGATTTAGAATGTGATTACTTGAATGCTCAACAGTGTTGCTCGAAGCTGAATGCGGTAAGTATGGTGGATTCAAAACACTTGTAATGCCTTTCATGGCCATGCAACTTGCCCGCATTATTTTCTGTATAACGTCAGGATATTGTAGTATATTTGTTTTTATAGTGGTGATGCATCTGATTTCTATTTTGAAGATGCCCATTTCTATTAGCCTTAGTACTAGCCTTTGTGTTGTAGAATTTCTCTTGGTTTTTCTCAGTCCATGCAGTGAATATATGGCTGCTACATTGAAAATAAACTATGAATGCTTCTTACCAAATAATTATCTGTTTGCTTGTTAGGATCATCATCCCATCTGAATTCACATAACATGACCTCATTAGTTGGAACATTCTTGTTAAATATCCAGAATTCAATAAACCATTGTGAGGTAATTCATTAGTGTGTGTGTGTGTACATATGCACACAAACTATTTGTTATTGGCATGCTTAACAAATCTACTGATTGGCTAAGAATTTTCATTGCCTACTTTCATCTGGTTAAAGAAGTCAGCAGTAATTACAGACCAATAATAATAAAGCATTTGAGTGATCTTCACATGTATATAATTTTCATTATTGTAGGTTTTTTAGTACTGAACAGTGCGTAATATAACAAAGTTTTATACTTTCATAAAGAGGGAGACCTAGTCATAAATGGGTAGATAACATTAAAATTGGTTCTACAAATATGTAAATGTATGAAGTGGTCAAAGAAAGCGTTAAATGGTAAGCACATTATTGTGGTGGTAAATTTGTTAGGTTCCATAACTATGAGAAACATCTTGATAAGCAAATTTATTAGTTATCATAATCTTGTATGTCAAGTGCCAACTTTGACTTGTTGCTTCTGTTTACAGTGGGTGTTACCAAAGCTGATTGCCCAGGACTTTCTTACACTTCTTTTCCTTCTCCTTGGTCACTGGATACTTGCATTTGCAAATCTTCCATTGGCAATTTGGCTTGCATATGAGTATGTTTATTTTCATATTTTATTTTTCTGTATTTACTGCCATAGATCTCACATTTCTTGCTGAGGCTTTTGTTGTGAAATATATTTGCATAAATGATAGAATTCAAAACATGTTTAAACTCTGTTTGTTTTAACATATGTATGAATTGTACAAGAAATTATGTGCAGTTAGGCCTATGTAAAAACAAGATTTTGACTGCCAGTGATGTCTGTAACGAGTTGGAAAATATATTTAAGTCTGTACACGGTGACATTGTGTCCCTCAGACTAGTAGTTAGTGTGCGGTGCCATGTCGTAGATTTGTGGCATGTAAAAGAACCTTATGGGCATGACCGAGATGATTCGTAAGTAAAATCTGACGGCCATTTCTCACCAAAGTCTCTCCTGATACACTGCTAGATGGCTGTTGCAGTCAAATCAGGATTGAGTAGAAATTGTGTAGTCAGTGGGCTGGTCACTCACTACTCACAAATGCACACTTCAAAGAGTAGGAAACCTCCAGTAAGGAGGTGGCGAAGACCCACAACTGTGTTTCAGAGCCAAGGAACAACAACGAGAACAGAGTGACATTGCACATTGAATGTATCATTATAATTGATAGACCTTAGGGCTCCTAGTACAGAGGTCATGTGTTTTTCTTTATAACCAGTGTAGGTATGTTAAATGCTGCATTGATCATAATTACTTGCACATATTAAATGTCATTTTGAGATGTAGGAGTGGTAGTGACCTACTCTGATATGCCATTAAAGAAGACCACAAGAAGCTTCAGCTAGGTTAGTCACAAATCACACTTGACATTATCATAAATTGGCAAGGGATTTTTTGGACCTTAATGATACAACACAAAAAATGTTCTTTTAAAAAAAAATTTAATGTAGTATAGGTAAATGATATTAATAAATTAATGCCTTATTAATGTGTTATTTTTTTTAGATATTACACAGTGCCCACGGGAAACACGGGAATGTTTGATCCTACTGAGATTCATAATCGGGGCAAATTGAAGAAACATATGCGAGACTGTATGATATATCTGGGATATTATTTTCTCTTTTTCTTTGTGTATTTGTACTGGTAAGTCTTTATCATATGGTTTCTTTTACATTTTTCTTCCAGTGTTTCTGTATATTTAATTGCATTAAGTAAAGCCAAAAACACAGGTATGATTGCTTTACAGTCTTGTTACAGTATTTATGCTGTATTATACTTGAAGATTTCTGTCTTCTGGGTTGTTGCGCTGTGTAGTCTGGTCGATGTTAACCAACGTTTCAGAGGTCATACTGCCTCCGTCATCAGGGCGATGAATATGCCAATAGGGTGTGAGAAGTTGGATTTTATAGGCAGGGAAGTGAAAGGTGTAGCCTGCCCCGAGCACCCTATTGGCATATTCATCGCCCTGATGACGGAGGCAGTATGACCTCTGAAACGTTGGTTAACATCGACCAGACTACACAGCGCAACAACCCAGAAGACAGAAATCTTCATACTCATCGCCCTGATGACGGAGGCAGTATGACCTCTGAAACGTTGGTTAACATCGACCAGACTACA